CCCTTAGCCTTAACGGCCCGGACTCTCAGAGCGCACAGAAGTCCTGGGACTGTGATCACCGTGATCACTAGCGGACGACTGCACGCTGTCTTCTTTGTGCTCACTGAGCACTGGGCTGTGCCCTCCCACAGAGCCCGCAGGAGCATCATGAGTGCTCTCGAACTCGGCATCGTCCTCACTGCCCGAGTTGAACTCATGTTCTACGAACCGAGGGTTCGGACGATTGTCTGAAGACGAGGGCGACGGACTGCGGCGCCTGCTTGCGCGCTTGTCCGCAGCCGCGTCACCCGAGGATCCGATCGCCTCGGAGGCCACCTGAGTAGCCTCCTTAAGTGCAGAGCCTTTGCCGTGAGGCTTAGTGCTCTTGGCCTGCGCCTTACCGGCTGCAGCCTTGGAGCGTGTCTTAGCACCGCTCTTAGCAGTGCCACGAGGCATGTTAACGGTCGAAGTGGAGACCTTGACGAAGAGCGCACAGGTTGCTGCTCGAGGCTCTAACTGTAAAGTGAGCCTCCGCCGCGCTCGCGCGGCCGAGTCGATGGTTTTCGACTTTGAGAATGAGAGTTTGTGACGAACATCTCTTCATTCTGATTGGTCGGTAAACCGAACCTAAGTGGGGGAGGATGTAACGGGGTACGTAGCACTAAGTGTACCCTGGTTACATGAAGTGTGACACTTCACACTTCAGGAGTATGACATGTCATACTCCGGGATATTTGGTACAAGGTACCAAGGTCATTCAAAACCAACCATTGGTTAAATGACATTGCATTACTATAGGTAACTGATAGTTTGTATTAACCTCAAACTTAACCTACCTATAAATATACTCAGTTTACAATCTACCTTATTTAGGTCACTTCGCTCTCTTTAATTAAAGAGGGGACCTGTGAACTGCCGTTCACTGAGAGTTTGTATACTCTCGGAAGATAACTTCCTCTAGCGCAAGGTGCTGTGTGACCCCGTCACATGTAGTGCAGCCGCAAGCTGCGCTGCCAGGCGCATGAGTGTCCTTAAGATGTGTCTTGCAGACACTGGCAGTGGACGGTGGCTCGTAGACAGGGGCACTGGACACTGGCAGACTGCATTGCACTGGCACTCGACACGCGGGTAAGCTCACAGCTATTTGGTGAGGAAGGGTTCATATTCTTGGCTAGACAAGTACCGTTGAAAACGTCACCAGACTAAAGGCACATATTTATGTATCATTATTGTACAGATCGGACGTTGCTGATGGCTCACAAAGTGCCCACTGGGCACTTTGTGGGCACTGCACAGTAGCGAAAGGGTAAGTGAAGGTGTGAATGTATACAGTATACGATGATGGGCTGTTTGCTGTTTTATTGTATACGAAGATGTAGTTTTTCTCCCAAAAAGACCAGTACGGGTAATGAGCAACAATTAGTGTTGCCCAACACGGTCGCTTCGTGCAGGAAGCCACGGTGAATCGACACCGGTCCGCGCCCATCAGGTGTCTTCCCTGGCAACAGATAATCAAACAACATTCGTCCCAGCCGACCAAATTGGCCGGGTAATTTTACTAGGGGACTCGCTTTTACCTGGGCGGGGCACCCTTACGTTCCTAAC